GGACACGACGCGGGTTTCCCGGTGGCGACGGCGCCGTCTCAGCGCGGCCAGGCTGTCGGCACCGGGATCCCCACAGAGAGCAAAGACACCAGAACCAAACCCCCATGTTTAGTCTGTGCAGTTTCTATATATGCACGTAAAAGTCTTTAATTAAACACTAAATGTTAAAGGGTTTCTAAAAGACAGAGTTCAGCGAGCACCAGCAGAGCATTTCCTCAGGGTGCTAATACCGACTCCAAGCGAACATACTGCCTAAACCCAATTCCCCCTCACAGAAACGGCCGCTGGAGCAGGTGTGTGCTGAACAGCCAGGTAGGGTGGCTGCAGGGGTTTGTCACGGAAGGTAGTGAGATAATTACACAAAGCCTTAATCTGCAGCAATCCTCTTGTGCCATCGCTTTCCTTCATAGAGGGAACCACCTTTAAAATTCCCGTTGGAACAGAGTTATGTTCCCGTACTGCCCTTAGATGGGGTGGTGGTTTTTAAACAGGAACAACTAGAAATATTCTCAGTTACGCAATAAAATTCAGGATGTTCAACCCAAAACTAGTATTAGTAGAATTTAGTTTTAACCCCAATTTAATTAGAAGAATTAATCAATTAGTTTTAACTCCTCATTTAATTAGAGCAGGAAAAGCAAAAAATACATAGAAAATGTTTTCCCCTTGCGCTTCTGTTTGGCCCCTCTTAGAAGAAGTTGCACTATGAACAACAAAAGGGTATATAATGTGGGATAACAGTCTGATGTCACTGGATCTTTAAATCAGGAATGCTAACGGCAGTGAAAGCCACATAAGGAGAGGCTCCCCACCGCACCCGGGCAGCGGCAGAGGTCACTGGGACAAAGGTTCGGATCACCGGGAACTGAAGGCACATGAAAGAGAAAGCCAAGGAATGGCTGCTTTACCCCTCCTCCCTAAGGAACGACTCATTAAAAAGTCATCATCTCTTTCACTTGTATATTCTCTTTGACTATAACTTGACAAGTTATAATCTCTTGACATACAGCTAATAGATGTACGTCAGAGAAAGGTACCAAGTGCTTCACATCTGATTAGGACTATTTTTCTTCAAACCAATTTAATTACTCTGTTAGTTTCGGTAAATAATAACTATTTAGAACTCCTGAAGAAAGCTCCCTAAATAAGATTCAACGTGTGTACCTGGTATAAAAGGCTAAAATCTCTCCAAACATTCAAGAACTAAGAAGCCTTAAGTAAAATTGAGAAAATGCATCTAGACATCCTTCATGTTTTTACAGTATCAACAAGTGGGGCCCATCTCACTGCAAGATGAAGCAAAACTTCAAAAAGAAAATGGAGGTGCAGGTTACTTTTTTCTTTTACAAGCTCTTAACGTAACAAATACATACCCCTCTGACTCACTGCACTGCACGGAAGTGACCATAAGCCAATTTCTTCATGCAAATCTTAAACTCTGTTTAGTATGTCAATAAGAGAATTTAGATGCATCTTGAAAAGGAACACCATATATACGTTGGAAAAAAGGACCGTGAACCAACTTGCATAGTTGCAGTCCATACGTAATCTCAGTTATATAGCACGTATTAGAATTGCTCAATTTACGAGAAGCTTATGAAATACAAATTTCGTATTACTGTTCCGTTTGCAATGCGATAACAACAATGCAATATAGTAGGCAACAGGTTTTCAGATGTGCATAGCTTGTCCATACATGACCTACCTGGCATTAGCTTATGTTATTTTGTCATAAATAGTATCAGTCCCACACAGACACTCTTTGTCTATCCAAAACCTCTGTCACCCTCAGAGTAAAATCTTATCGCCAGCATGGGTAAAAGCCCAAAGTTCATCTTGGCACAGACAAGAAACATTCAATCTGAAGTGAAGATGTACGGACACCCTCCTCCTATACCGCACTGCAACGCTGATGATAAGCCTGCCTGACCTCTGCCACCACCCTAGCCTTCCTGTTCAAGCGAGAGCATGCAGGTGCCATTTCCACTGGTCAGAAAGCAGAGAATTCACACACCGGGGCTCACATACCGATTGCCGCAGCAGCTACGTCCCGTACTTCTGCATCTTCTCTGCTGAAATCCTCAGTTTCTTTGGTCTCTGGAAAGCGTGACTGGTCTTATCTTTTACTGGAATATCAAACCAAATGAAGGAGTGGAGGCACTCCAGGGACCTGTTCAATGCTGTAGCAAAGGGAAGAGTTAAGTAAAACCAACCAAACGGCAGAACGTCAGGGACAAGAAGATCCTCCATCGCTGGCAGCGATGGCAAAGCCCCCACCATGAGTAATTTATATTGAATATTTGTAAGCAATGTCATCACGCTCAGCATGGTTCAGCCAGCAACAAGTACACTTCAGGATGCCAAGCAAGAGGGGTTTGCCCCAGTTATCCAGGTTAAAATAGGCCTTGAGAGATGGAGTGCTACAGATCCAGCAGACCTAATTACTAGGAAGAAAACATGATCGCAACATTTTGTAGGACCAGATTATTAATTAAAATTTCCAAGTGATTAATTAAACTGTATTTGGAATAGGTAACTTATTTTTTCTTTTAAATAAAGGTATTTTCAAGTGCATTTCTGTTGTGCTACTGATACATAGGAGCTTCTTCGCTCACCCCGGGCTTCCCGTATGAATCAAACTTGCCACTGGCAGTGCTAACAGGATTCCAGCTACCGGAATCTAGGAGAGCAAGACCCAAAACTTGTAATACGTGTTTTTTTCTTTAACTTCCCTTCCTTAGGTGTATTTTGTCAAGATGCATCTACCCTTCTACTGCCTCATCAAGCTCTCATTTACCATTTTACCCACTTCCTTAGCTCTACCATTTTAACAAGTTTTAACATTATGAAAGCATTGACCTCAGGGTCCTTAGTCAGTCTGCATTCAAATAAGAGAGAGCCCACTAATTTCTATTGCTCCATTGGTTGGTACAGCCCACATCCATCATTCATTAAGCCTTGCCTGGAAAATTAACAGACGGCCCAAAGTGAAAGCGATGACCTTTGGCACATTTTGCTGCAATAATTTACCATATGACCATTCTCAGCAGTTCCTCCCGTACCCCTGCCAGAATTTACCACTCTCCTTGAAGTCAACAGACAGAACCACACACAATGACATCAGTTAATCTAGCATGTTAGCTTCGTGGGCGATTTGAGTTTTAGGCAGCGATGGGATGCTTCTTAAGCAGTTCCACTCTTGCTAAGTCATCCCGCCCTTACGCTGCGAACTGTTGTACCAACACAGCTGTTCTTGGGGCTCCACGGCGAACTATCAGGCTGAAAAATAACACGGGGGAAAGAGTGTCAATCAGATTAATTCCTTGATACGGTTCATCATGTGGTGATACAAACAGTTTGGCATGATCCAGTGGGAACAAGTAGTAAGAGACTGGTTAAGCCAGCATTTTCACTAGAGAACTGCACATCAAAACTGTGCCCACATGCATGAGGTTTTGCATCGTGCCTGACGCACAAGCAGTCCTTCCTTTCTGCCAGCTCTGCGACAGAAGTAACCTTTGCCAGAGAATGAGGTGGACTTTAGAACAATCAAGTTTTAAGCCAAGAATTTATCTACCAAGCCAAGTGAAGGGAAAACTGGTGTACTTATTCTGTTAATGTTTCATTATTTGCCCATGCTTTTAACCCATCCTAAGTCATATCTACATTTGGAGGTGTGCAATGCGTATATAGGAGATCATGCCCATCATCCTCTGGATGTCTCTTGAGGAATTATGATGTGGACTAAGAATGACGGAACTATGAACAGCTTTGAGAAAATAGGGATTGAGTCCCATATCTATATATATGTGTGTGTGTGTGCGCGTGTGTATGTACATACATGTGAGGAATGGTCATTTATACCTAGAAAATCCAGGGCTGAACAGCTCTTTAAAAGAACATTGATTTCAAAGTCTGGAAATTCACAGGAAAAAAAATCTAAAAATAAAGAGAGGAAAATGGCCATCAATGACTTTAGGAACAAGAGAATGGATATACTAGAGGCTAAAGGGATGAAAAAGCATTTAAGAACTGTTGTTTCAATAAGACCTGGACACTTAAAAAAAAAAAAAAAGGAATTAAAAAAGAAAGCAAGGGGAAGGAAAAGGAAAAAATTTAAACACAGAAAAATCTAGAAGAACAACGAACCAGCTCAATATAGGCTCAGTAAACTCAGAAGTTCCAGCAGCCTACACTGCTCTCTGTTTACACTACTGAGTTAAGTTTCAATGACTCACAAAGCATTTCAGCTGTTTCAAATAAATATGTACTGGAGGAAATATCAGGAGCCAATAGTACATCAGGTTCTGTCCCAAAGTAGCGCTCAATCTGAAACATGCATGGGTTACTCTGAAACAGATCACTTACCTGAACTGGAATCACAGTTCTTGCTTTACCCCATACCCTCAACATGCTAAAAGTTGCCGACTTTGAATTTTATTGCTATTGTTACTGGCACAGAAATTACATTTTGGCTTTTGATTGCCAGCCTTTGTCTTTCTTGCCATTACACAAAATACAGGACTAAGGGTGATTATCGACTTTCATAAAGCAATGCTGTGCAGTAACGCTTACTGACCAAGTTTTGCCAGAAAAAATAAAAGTTTTAATGAAAAATGCTTTCTCTGTCCTTTCAAATAACAGGAATCACGTTCACTGTTTGCACTTGATGGCATTGCGACTCCTCCTGTTCTCTTTGATTTGTATTGTCTTTCAAAGCAGAAAAGAAACAGGAAATTTGTAAATTACAGAAAAATAAGAGTAAACACCCCGTCAGAAATTGGCAGCAATAAGGAACTGTTGTTGGAACCATGGATTCTTTTGTGAATAAACAACAGCTACTTACCTCATGATATCCGATTCTTCGAAATATATATCAGTTACAGTCTCAATATTCATGGGTCCTCATGCACCTGAATTTGGATTCTTTTGGCCAAGAGTGTGTATTCAGACTGCCCTTATGCCCTTGGTGTCACTGTGTCCCCTTTCCAGAGACAGAAAGAGAAGAACACAACTGTCTCTCAGTAGTAAGGAAGGCTGATTATGGAATACATATGGAGATCACATCTCAAAAAAAAAAAAAAGCATTAAAAAAAATCCCTTACTGTAAGTAACCATTCCTTCTTTGAGATTCCTCACTCTCAGGGGTCGTCTATATAGTAGTTCAGATGAACTAAACTGAATTGAACAAAAGTCACTTAATTTTTGAATGGGAGTGTCCATGCAAGATTTATTACGCACAAACTGATACATTTTAGTTATCCCTTTGCTTAATTTGTTTTAATTTTCTTTAGTGCTATATATTGAGATGGGGAATGCAATGAGGCAGAACTTGCCATGCAGGGTAACTGCAGTACTTAAAAGTCCATTGACTAATAATTTGAAGACAGCTTAAGAAATGCAAGATTGTATCTTGGTATCTTCATGTTGAGTAATATGACCTGAATGTATATACCAACCAGACTGCTGTTCTATATAGAATATTGGTACACAAAGTTGCAGCAGCCGGTCACATTGAGGGCGTACTCCATTCTTTATGCTAGTTGCTTTCAACAAGCTAATTCACACAATATTTTGTGAGAAGGAAAGTAACACCTCTCTGCATGAAAAGCTGGTGCTGCAGTTGGCAAAAGGCAGATCCTAACCGAGTTTGTAACTCGCAACCAAAGATACTAAGAATTACCTGGCATGACTACAGTGTTCACTATGCTTTAGAAGGGAACAACAAGTAGAGTTTGAACATAATCTTAGAGATAACTGGTCAAAGAGAACAAAACTCAGCACATGGGATATATACACAATACAAAGGTGAAGAAATTTATTTACCCTCTCTAAAATAAGGGTAAATTCTAGTAACATTAATTTGGCAATTTTGAATTTAAAAAACCTGCTATTATTGGGGGATGAGGAAATCTAATTATGAAATCTAACTTGCCGTTTGCCTCTCAAAGAAATTCAAACACATTACACTGGTTTTAGTGCAGTTTGTCATTATGCTTCATTCAGAAGCCTTGTTACAAATGAGGTAACTGTTCTTACTCTAGAAAAATCTCAGCACAATGTTTTGCTCCAGGTACAGAAAAAGGCTTCACAGTAGGGTCTCAAATATTTCCAGGTACCCATGGCTCCTCCTATTTCTCAGCCAACAGCTGTTTTTGCACCTTGTTAAGAACCACTAGGACTAAACTTGCTGGGAAGTAATCTTACTGCCTTGTCTATAGCTTGCTTTTTTTTTTTTTTTTTTTTTTTAATCTAATGGGTGACAGAGGCCAAAGACATTTTGGAAGATCAGTATCTAGTTAAATGCTTTTAATTGCAAAGTGACCAACAGCCTTTTTAACAAACTTCAGATCTTTAACTGAGTAGTAGTTGAAAGCCACCAAGAAACAGCTCAGAGGTGGGCAGTTGCTGCTTCTGAGAATCACAGAAATTGGGCCTCATGAGATTTAATTTATATATTAAAATTTTGGTTTGGAGCATACAGAAGTTCCCATATAGTATTTGGAAATAAAACAGTGAAAATAAGTAATGTTTCTTGTTTCAATATTTAATCCAAGCAGACACAGACACAATTTATAAAATTATTCTATTGCATTAAAGTTTTATATAGCATTTAACTTTTATGAATGTTTTTCCTTCAGTGTATCATATATTCATATTTTAAAATATCTTTGCACAGTCCTTTGTGCAACTACATGCTAAAAATCTGCAAATGCACACTTAACACTAAACAGCACGAAAAATACATTCTGTATCCATTCATATGCAAATTTAAAACATTTCACTTGGCAGATAAACAATGAAAAGTTATTTTAAAAAAATCAGAAACTACAAAAATGCGCACGTAAAAGTCTTCCCTTTTGGATTTTTAGTAAAATACTGCTCTGTATAAGATCTAATGAAAAACTCCAGTGCTTACAAAATACTTTATATCTATGAGAAAAACAAATGCTTAAATTTATATCTGTATGAATTAAACATAATCACCTTGTTAAAATATAAAACTGAAATCATAGGGGACATGGCATAGGTCATTGCAGATGTTACATCTACCAGGACATGTAAAACTGTAATTAACTGGGCACCAGGCAGTCAGTA